GTAAGGGCCCTGGGGCCCGTGTGCTGACGCCAGGGAGGCAGCGGCCCGGGAACGCCAGAGGCCCGCGCAGGCGATCAGCGCAGCGAGTCCCGGCCACCTCTCTCCAACACCCCAGCATTCGCGGAGCACAAATAGGGGCTCCCTGGGGTGGGGGTGTAGAGGCCATGGGGTTCTAGGGAGGGCAGCAGAGTAACTAAGAGCGATGGGAAATCACCCCCGAGTTCCTGTGGTGAAATGGTGAACCCAGGAAGGGGGTGGGGATGGGGGCGGCAGACGGTGGGGGCGGGGGACGCGGGGCGAGGACGACCGAGGGTGGGGGGCGCAGGACGGGGAGGGGGCCGAGCGCCCGGCTGCAGCAGTCCCCTTCCCTTCCCCTCCCACCACCCCCTCCCGCCCTCTGCAGCTCTGCCGGTCTACGTGTCAAGTTTTGCAACGACGCACTTGCATCGAGAATCCGGAGGAGGAGGAGACAGAAAGGATAGGCCCAGGTTGGTGCAGGGGACAGTGGTGGGGGTCAGGTGAAGAGCCCAGTCAGACCCCCTTCCAGCTTCTCCATGCCCGGTCCTCCATTTTGGTGTCTGAAGAGGCCTGGGGGTGGATCTGTAGGGGAAATGGTGGGTTTGGGAGGAGGGAGGGGAAAGAAGTGAGAGGGAGGGGGGTAGGGCTCAGACTGGGTACACCCTAGAGGGCGCACGAAGCCTTTCAGGTGGGAAAATGAAATTTAAAAAATAAGCTTTGATATCCAGACGTCTGAAGGATAAGTAGTCAGGCCTCTGTCCTTGGTGCTGATCTGTTCGCCAACAATGCAGTCCCTTCTTTAGTCTTTTGTCTCCTAGGAGCAATGGCGTCCAAAGAGCAACAGATGCTGAAAAACATCAACATGGAAAATACCAACGAGGAAAATAAAAAAAAGGATGAAAAGGAGCAAGATGATAATAAAGGAGAGTCGTTGGCCCTCCCTTTGAAAGCTGGTGAATATCGTGTACCTAGAGGAAATCGTAGGCGGTTCCGTGTTAGGCAGCCCATCCTGCAGTATAGATGGGACATGACTCAGAGGGTTGGAGAGCCACAGGCAAGGATGAGAGAAGAGAATATGGAGAGGATTGGGGAGGAGGTGAGACAGCTGATGGAAAAGCTGAGGGAAAAGCAGATGAGTCATAGTCTGCGGGCAGTTAGCACTGACCCCCCTCACCATGACCATCATGATGAGTTTTGCCTTATGCCTTAAATCCTGATGTTTTCCCTGAAGTTGATAGGGAAACACACCTGCTTCCTAAACTTACATGTTCATGATGTATCTTTGTTGTAAACCTTTTGATGTCATTCGTTTCTGGTGGGTCTCTTATTACCAGTTTCTAGATGAGTGTGTTTTTGACCCAGTCTGTAAGATTTTGTTAGCACGAGAATTTTACCTATTGCATGGCAAAATGTTCATTATATACTGTGAAGTCAATAAAGCAGTTAAAAAAAGCAATCTCTGTATGTATCCTTTTTTCCCCCTTCTTTTTGAATTAGCTTTTTTTGAATTGAAGTATATTCACTTTACAATGTGTAAATTTCTGGTGTACAGCATAATGTCTCAGTCGTATCTGTATGTGTTCTTTTTACTTCAGATCTAATATTTATCCCATAGGTGAAGAGAAAAGTGCTGAAATTAAATGTACCGAAGGATTAATACAGCAACTCATTCCTGTGAGATGGGTTGATGTGTTTTCTTTTATAAATTCTGTAGTTTGAGAAGAAATGCAGACTATTTTTAATGACTTTATGAAAGCAGTAGGGTTACTTAATACATACTTGGTCATGAAATTTGGATCTTTTTGTCAGAAGAATAAGTTTTTGTCAGGAATTCTTTATAAATTAGGGACAATATTTGCTTCACATGACTGTGAAACAAGGCCAGGGGTGTGTGAGCTGTGTTTACCTATTTTTGGCCCCATCCCCATCTATCAGGCACGACCCTCTTTCCCCAGGTTTTTCCTTCAAATATTTAGCAGAGTCCCCAAAGATAACTCTCACCAGTCCAGTATCCCTCCTCCCCCCTTAGGACTGAAGCTTCTGCCAGTCAAGGTGTGAGTTCTACTTGACAAAAGGTAGGCGCATAGCAAAATACAATTAATAACATTTGAGTCAGGAGCTCTTGAGTTCTTGTCTCAGTTTAGTCCCTGAATAAAATAACCTTGAATATGTAGCTTCAATTCTCTAGAAGAGATTACTTGCAATTCTTAAAGGAACACTGAATTCATTTAGTGTTTCTAAAAGTAAGCTGATCAGCCACCTGTGTGAGAATCACCTGAGGACTTTCTTGAAACTGTGGACTCCTGGTCCGACCCTAAATCTACTGAATGGAGCTTGAGAACTTCCATTTTTAGCAAACTTCCCTGGTAATTCTGATGCACATTAATGTCTAAATGGCTACAGGTGTGTATGTATATATTAAGATCTCATTTCTTAAATAGGAACCATACTAATGAGAAAACAAAGAATACTAGAATTCATTGGAGAGAAGCATTAAAATGCAAAGGATGAGAAAATTTAAGAGACCTTTAGATTTACTACATAAACATTAAAATAGAAAGTATGTACACTAAAAAGTTAACAGTGGTTATCTCTTGTGGGATATTGAGTGACTTTTCTTCTTTGTACTCAACTACATTTTTTTCTTAAGGAATATGGATTACTTGTGCAAAAAAGAAATGAAAGCCAATACTAATCCAAATCCAAAGAACACTTCAATGAGCTTATAAATGCAATGGAGGCACTTAAAATTCTCATTGACAGAAAGCTATGTAGATTTCAAGTTACCCATGGATGTGGTATTCATGGCTTGGTTTAATTGTCTCTCCCATTGGATGTGGGCAAAATCACTAAATCTTACTTCCAATCAGTAGAACAGCAAAAGTGATGCAATGTTACTTCTGTGATTGTGTTATAGAAGATTGTGACTTCTGTCTTGCTAGGAGACTCCCTCCCTATCACTTACTCCTTTGCTAGCTTTGATGAAGCAAGTTGCCATGTTGGAGAGGCCCATATGGCAAAAAAACAGAGCATCTTACAGCCAACAGGCAGTGAGGAACTAAGAACTGTCCTATAGCCTTTGAGGGCAAAAATCATAAGTGAATTTGGAAGCAGATCCTTCCCTACTGAAGCCTTCAGATAAGACTGTGGCCCTGGCCAGCATATTAACTGCAGATTTATAAAAGACCCTGAGGCAAAAGACACAGATAAGCCCACCCAGACTTCTGATTCACAGAACCTCTGGGATAATAAATGTGTGTGGTTTTAAGTTGCTAAGTTTTGGGGTAATTTGTTACACAACAATAGCTAATACAGTATGTATCTCTAAAGGATAATGATGTTTTAAAAACATAACCACAGTACCATAATCACAAATAAATATATACAACAATTATTTAATATCCAGTCATTGTCCAAATTTCCAGTGGTCTAATTTTTAACTCCAAACTATTTAAACTGACAAAAAATAAATTGGGCTCCTGAGCAACACTATTGGCCTTGTCTAGATTGCAAGTGCCTGGAACAACCTAATGTAAAGTTTTCTATTAGGAAGCTAAAAAGTGTGTGTTTGAAAAAGTGTCTCATATCTAACATAGATCTGGATCCATGAACTCTGAAAATCTAGCAAATGCTAAGAGAAAAACTGGTCTGTTCTATGTAATGAAAATATAGGGTAGAGTGAGGGTCAGGAAGGGGCATCATACAAACAACTTCATAGCCCAAAACAGTCATTTGAGATTCTGACACTTGCATTTTGTAGAAGTCCTGTAAAACAGCTATATTTGATCAAATTTGCCAAACTAATTCATTTAACTCTAGAAGGAAAAGCATTTGATAGAAAAAGTGGATGTCAGGCTGACCATGTTGGAAAGATGCAGGCATAAATTATCAGATTATCAATCACCCTTGTGGTTTGGTAAATACCTGCAAAAAAACTTCTATTACTGTGTTACAGTTAGAGGAAGCATGGGGCTGAGATAACAGGATGAACAAGCAGGTATATGAAATCATTTTATCATATAGTTTGATTGCATAAGACATGGAGTATGTTACTAAGAAGCCTTTTTTATTTCAAGAAACACAAAATTTAGAGGACTAATTTAAGTACATGGAGGATATGATTTGTGGGTTGCCAGGACCTCAAATCTTAAAAATGAGGATGCCCTCTGAAAGTTTTAAATGGATAAATCTGATAGACAATGAACATGGCTTTCCATCTCTGTGAATAACAAATTATCTGTGAATGTGATACTGAAAAAGTTGCAAAGATCTAGTACTCCAATCAGTATCATTTGGGAGTTCTCCAATGGAGGCAAGGCCATGGAAATACTTCAGGAAGGAAAATGATAACAATAATATGCCCATATGAAGCAGGGTCTTGTAAATCCTTTAAGTGACTTGAAGTTAAAACAGGTAGAAATCCAAGGGAACATTTTAGAAGATATTAAGGAAGAAACTATGTAATAGACGGCATAAATGAGGCATAAGACAGTAGGAAAGATGCAAAAATGGGGAAAAAATAATGCAAAATGAGCTGAAGGGGGTTCTGACCATAATATCCAGCTGGCCCAGTAAGGAACATGCATTCAGAAAAGATATTAACGAATGCATACTCAAGGTACTAAAAATAGATCTCTTTAATAATAAAAGTAATTTCAGTTCATGCACAACTAGGAAATAAAGTTGTCTTCTGAATACTAAAGGAGTAAAATTCACCATACACACTATGAATCAATGTAATAAGCTAAAGGAGTTAATGTAAAAGTTTGGGTTCCAGAAAATAACAGTAGATACAAAACCAAGGAAAAAAGTAGATGGGCATATAAGCTACCTAACACCTACAGCAATCCCCAGACAGAAAAAATCAGATGCATAAGCAGTGTCAAAGCCAGTGGTATGCTGATAAACTAAATGTTAAACAACTGGGTTTCCAGTAAACTATTTGTAGTGTTAGCCTATTTCCACTGTGTAAATACTCCTAG